CTGCGAAATTTAACACCGATGAGTCATTGTTTACACAGCTGGATGACCTTGAGAACAGCTGGAGTCGGATTTCCCGGGGCATTCTCATAGACGTCTCGGGAGGATAAGGGTTTAAAGTAGGATGAATACTAACTAGGCCTATATTTTTAAATATTTTTTAAAAATTAAAAATTTTATTACGATTTCCGATCCCCCTAATTAATTAAATTTATATAAAATAAAATATATGAATTTAAAAACTTTTGGAGGTCGTTTTTGACATCAGAAAGTAGCTGAACCCACAATAGCAGTTAGATTCCTCTTTACAGGAAAGTTAAATTTAAAAAAAATGATTTGAATGAAAAATGAGTTACCAGTTTTATCTGTATTTGTGACAACTATTCAAGGACAGTTGTTATTTAAATAAAATCAGTATATTTAAAATCCAATTTATCATATATCTGTAATAACAGTCGTCTTCTCAAAAAACTGGAGTGAAAAATAAACAATCACAAACCAAAACCTTTTTTAACCAGTAATTGAACTTAAACGTAACTTCCAAACATTTTCGGCCTTCACCAAGGCCTGCTTCAGGTAATGAACTAAAACTGACTTCCAAATTGGACTGTTAGAATGTTGTTGTTTGACTTTAAACTTTGTATATATCAAATTCACGCGGCTGATTGACTTTGTTCGAATTTCTCAAACAGGTATTTCCACGCATGTGCTACCATCTCACAGTCTTGAAAGGCAGGCCCTTCAAACAGACCATATTCGTCACTTGGAGGCCTTGGAAATTTATAAAGCAAACTTGAAAGGCAACTGAGAGACGATGGCGCATGCGTGGAAATACTTGTTCAAGAAATTTGAACAAAGTCAATCAGCCATGTGAATTTGATATATACAGAGTTTAAAGTTGAACATTCTCATTCTAATGGTCCAATTTGGAAGTCAGTTTAGTTCACTACCTGAAGCAGGCCTTGGTGAAGGCCAAAAAAATTCAGAAGTTAAGTTTAAGTTAATTACTGGTTAAAAAAGATTTTGGTTTGCGATTGTTTATTGTATATGTTTTATAATAATAATTACTACTACTTTAAAATAAGTTTAGTTATATTATTATTAAAAAATAAACAAAGTAATTCAATTCCACTTAAATTGTAGCCACTGTCATTGCCTTCAGATATAACAATTAGTAAAACAACATGTTCTTTCAAAATTATATCTTTATCCCAGAATTTGTTTTCTATTAATATTTCAATCTTACTCTTGTATTTTCTCCAAATAGAATAGGATGAATTGTTAAAACAACAACATTCATATTGTTGTTTTAACAGTTGTTGTTACTGGTAGTAATTGAGTAATGGTAGGAAATTTCATAGTTTTTAATGCAGTCATGCACAAGATGTCTAATAATACAAAAATCAAAATTATCCAATGATAAAACATTTATAGAGAAAGGCCTGTTTGTTTTTTACCTGGTGTTAGATTAATTGTATCCTCCTTTTTTCCTCTTGATATAAACCTTATAATATTTCTTTCATTTAAGCTAGTAACATAAGCTGCTTGTCACTTAATCAACTCTAAATATGTATAATTTATTCCTAGCTTCATCCTCAAACATCTTTATTACATTTAACACAATATTTCTATCTTTGCTTTTAATTGTTTTTCCCTCTTTTTAATTAAAGTTCAATTCATTTTTAAAGTAAGGGAATCAACAAAAACAAGTTTCAAATTTTTCAAGATTGAAACCAGAACAAGACAAAATTCTTAACTACTTTTTAAAAAGAAAAATTAGAGGGGCAATCTCATTGCACACAGACTGTACTTGTTGTTTCTATACACACAATTATTTTTATTATGCTGCAGTAAAAAGATCTATTAAAGGTTATATATCATTTTATAGGAAAAATAATGCATGCTCAGAATGCAATGCAATATGTTTTTTAACATAATTATACTAAATGTATTCTAGATTTTATTTAAATCATAATATGAATTCTTTTAAACATCTACAAGTTTTCTCTTTAATAAATTTCAGGAACAAATTGAGTACTTCTGAGACATGCAGCTAAGTAAGCAAATCAATGGTATATTCCTTTGCTTATGTAGAATAGGGTTTCTCAAATGGGATCTCAGTTATTTTTTTAACTCAAGAAATTCCACAAATTTCTCAAAAATTTACTTTTTTCTTATTTTGTGTTAAGGTTGAGGAAATTTTGCAAATAGAAAGTACAGTAATACCCCGAACTTACGCGATAGGTGGGACCGAGCGATAACCGTGTAAGTCGAATTCACATAAGTCGAGGTATAATTTCGCATTTAAATACATACAAATAATTTTTAATTGGGGCTGAAGACTAAAGAAAACAATAATTTAGAAAAATTGTTTAATAAAATCTTAGATAATATATATGTCTAACAAATTATATTATTATACAATTTTTCACATTTACTTGATCATCACACCATAATTTTAACATTGTTTCTGTCTCAGCGATAATACTGTGATGTTTACGAATGATGCTTGAATTTAAAGGTTGAGCATTTTTCACAGCTTCGAGAATTTTTTCTTTACCTTTTATAATTGTTCTGACTGTCGATTCCAGTAGATCAAATTCCTTTGCCAATTCACAAATTTTCATTTTTGTATCAAAGTCTTTAATAATGTTAACTTTACATTCCAAAGATAAAGTTTTTCTTTTCTTGTTTGATGCAGAAGAATCAGTTCTACTTCGTTTGGATGACATAGTAGAGTCTCTCAAGTCTCCGTAGATGTAACAAACACAAAAATAAATAACACAAAACAAATTGTAGCTATATGTCGATTCAGCATGACACGTCCAAACATGTAAGCTGAACAATAGTATGGGGGAGTGAGTAATCAAGAGTTGCGTGGCGCTCAAACAAAAGAATTTGAAAATCGCATAACTCCGGGTAGCGTAAGTTGAGGTATTACTGAACTCATAAACTATCAGAATACATTTGTATTTTTTAATTTTAAACCTTCTTATTAGTTTTTTAAATTTTTGCTTGTTATGGCATGTCACAAATGGTCAATAATTAATATGTAGTTTATTTGTGGCAGGACTCTGAAAATTCTTTACTTGTCAAAACCTGTTATATCTGGAATAATTGTGCTTATGCTGTCTTAATTTTTAACTATGCCCAGTAGCTTCAATGACTACATAATTCCAGGTTGTGTCAATTGGCCAAGGATACAAATGCATATGAAGTCTGCAAGTATGAAGTTTTTCTTCATAAACCTGATTATTAAAGACAAATGAACTGCCAAATTATTGGGCTATAAGCTTGATGTTTCTATTAAAGCAGCCAAGGTAGAGAAATCAAGAATACTAGAGAGCAAAAGAAGTACTACGATCTCAAAAACAAACTAGAAATCTTCCAGGCTACAGGCGAAGAAACACAACATGTGTGTTTAACCCTTTGGTGAACGCGCCCGTGGCAAATTGCCACAAAATAAAGATAAAGTGTTTTGTTTGACGTTGTACTTAAGCAAGTTGAGAAAAGCAAGTTGAGAAATATTATGTACTTAATTATTGCAGAAGCTCGTCATAGTATTCTCTCTTCATAATACAAGATACAACATGTTTATGAAATTGTGTCAGTTATACTAACCGTTTAGTTGTTACTGGTCTTTGAATGAAGTTGTACCTCATTTGCGTTGTAACTGCTGCTACACGCCCTGCCATGTAACTAAAATATCAGTATACTTTTATATATATGTAATTAATTTTTTTAATTTATATTAGTCTATATTTTTGAAAAATATAAAGGAAACAAAGAGTCATCCAAAGTAGCAGCAAAAACCTAGAATTTGTTTTATTTGTGGCATACACAAAAACAATAGGAAAAAATCAATTTGTCAGAAATGGATAGAAATATTTACAAAAAGCATTGGAATATAGTGATTATATGTACCATGTGTGAAGGTGAACATCACATGAATATAAAGTAACTTTTTTTTTTATTATCTAAATATTTTATAACCAATTTGTTCATTAAAACGTTGTAAAATTAATTATCTGGTATATCTGATTCATATTTTCAAAACAATAATTAATTATTGACTTAAATCAAGTAATATTAAATATGCGGTGTAATTGCTGCGATGTGCCCTCTCGTGAGCTTCTGAAAAGCGTGTTCACCAAAGGGTTAATGCATTTAAGGAAGACAGAATTCCACTCACATCAATTGAATCGGAAAGGGCATTCTCGGTAGCAAGACTTTTCATTACTAAAATAAGAATCAAATTGAGTGATCAGAGTATTGATCATCTTTGCTTTTTAAAATCTTATTATAAAATTTACAATAATATTTTGTATTATGTTTTATTTAAAAAACAAAAGTTACCTTTTAAGTTAGAAGTTTGATCTAAGTTTTTTTTTTTTTTAAATTTTAAACTCAATTCAAAGCACTTTTTTGTTGTTTTTGTTTCCAGCAAACTTTAATAAATTTTTTCTATTTTTGAAAATTTCCACATAATTCAAAGGTAATTTTTAATATATATCTTACACAGCATTATTAATATGATTTTGAATGTTGCAGAACGTATTAAATTACTTTAAAAAATGAAAAATAATTATATCATTTGATTTCAAGATGTCTTAAAAATAATTAATTCTATCCTAGGAAACACTTCATCTTTTATCCCTGAATCCCGGTCAAGCAAAAGACTGGGAAATAGAGAAAACCCTAATGTAGAAGCATCCATTTTGTATGTCTGTGTCAAACTGAATTAATCGTAGTAGGCAAGAAAGCTAAATATTAAATTTTTTCTCAGATTGAAGAGAATTGCTACATCATAGTAAAACTATGATGTTAGCAAAGGTTTTCAACTTTCACACAATGTATTATGAGAAATTTTGGCCCAAGTATTAAATTTGGGCCAAAATTTATTTGAAGAATTGTTGCAGTTCTCAAATGAACAGTAGTTCAATTTTCTTTATCATTATATCAAAGGTTGGTATTGTAACATTTTGAAAAATAATCACATAGGGTTTTCAGATTGAAAACATGCTTTACTTTTACAAAACAAACAAAAATCTCATAATTTTTAATCTTATTTTAACTGGAAAAAAATATATATTCTGCACAGTATCAAAGTTTAATACTACTCTTTTGGTATGTTTTCCATATAGTCATTAGCCATTTGCTAACAAACATTTATAAATCTTGATAACATAAAAGTTGAAGTTCATAATCCTGTTCGTTATATGATGCTGAAAATCAAAGTGACTTTCCCTCCACAGAAGCTGCTGTGCTGTGCACTAATTTTCTTTGGCCTGTGTGATATTTTATATTACTGTAAAGCAATTATATACAAATCTATTTTTAAAAAATATACAAGATTGAAAAATAAACTGAAAATAATAATAATAATTAAAAGTGATTCTAAAAAATATGATATCTTAAAGACTAAAGAAAGTCTTTAAGAAATCATATTCATTTACACAATAAATTTTTAATTTCAAAGTAACATTTTAATTTTATTTAAAAAAAATAAATAAAGAATTTTATAATAATAATGAACTCAATAATTTTTCACAATATTTGAGAATGGAAAAAATTTTGTAACAAAATATACTGAGTGAAAATTCTACAGAAATTGTTGTAGCTTATTCAACAAAATCTATTTTTGATATTGAAATTTACTTAAGATGCCCCAATGATCACTTGGAAAACATCTATGTGGAAGCAACCTTTCCAAGCCAATTAGACCAAAATATTCTGGTTCGACTGTAGATGGCGATGACTGTCTGATATAGACGCGGTCAAATCTGAATCGAGGTTTATAGCGGGATCCAGAATTGAATGTTAAATTGTCATTCCTTGTCATATCCCATGTGTAAGCACACTCTTTTCGACTGCCACAAATTACCCACATATCTTCAATTGCTGTAGGAATACTGTGAGGTGGCATTTCTTTATCCCTGAGATTAAGATCTCCTGCTAGAATGACAGCTTTTTCACTTGAAACTTCCAACATTTTATCAAATGCTGTTCTTAATTGTTGCATTCTCTCTTGTGAAGCTTCTCCTGTACTCTCCAAATGTGTATTAAATAATGTTATTGGAATTTTTCCTATTTTAACATCTACCTGTAGCAAATTTCTACCCATACGAGTATTTGGATATTCATGTATATCATGGTCTATATATGAAACAGTATTCTTTTTGAGAAGCGTCACAGTAAAATATTCTACATTGTTACCTGGAATGCATTTATATTCTGGTAGATGTTTAACTATTTCATCTAATGTTTTTGGAATAACTTCTTGCAAAAAGACAATATCAGCATCTTCGCACTTTATTATCTTACAGATACGTCTTATTCTCAATAATTGATTTTTTTCATCAAGTCCATCACTGTTCCAAGTGATGAATTTCAGTGTATGTTTTACATTATTAGAAGAATGACTGTTATTTTCTGCAGAGAACACACACACTTTAGATGAATCACCTGAATCACTCAACTGAAAAACTTTGATATTTTTTTGACTACCAGTTGCATTTTTTTCGAAATAGTCAGATATTGCACTTTGTAAATTCCAATTTCTTTCTTGAAGATATATTTGAGCCCATATTGTATCTGTTTCAGTTATTTCAGCAAACTGTTCACACAGTTTCTGGCAAGTGTCAGCACTTGGTATATCTTCTAACTCTTCACTCATGATTAAATCTTTAAAATGAAAACATAATAAAAATTAACTTGTCTTTACATGACAAATTCAAAATTAACATTAAATTTTCAAATCTGATACTTCATTAAGTTAATAATAAAAAATACATGCAATTGCTCCCTGTAGATTAATTAATTTGTTAACTACACTTAAATAAATTTTGTATTAATATGAAATGCTTCTTTAAGTTAATTTTTATTTATACAATGTGTAACTTTTCTTGTTTATTTTAAATTTTGATTAATGATAATGGTATTGTAATTTCCTGCAGATAACCCACGATGACATATACCCCGGAAAATTCTGAGAACGAAAATAACATCTCTGTAATCTGCCCACCATATATCCCATGCCTCCATGCCAGCCATCAAAAGCAAAATAATTAATGGTGTTCAGTTTAGAAGTCACCATCTCAAGCATTAAAATAAGGCTTTTTCTATTTTGTTTGTTAACATATTATAGATATACATAAATGACCAAGCCAAAATACAGTACACCTCCCTATAACGCAGATTCATATAATGGGATTCGTATATCACGGTGAAAAAATTGCAACCGTATTCATATAAAGACGCTAAAAGAGACTCGTAAAATGCGGTAAAACGTCATCGCTGACTCGTGTCGCGACAGGATTGGTCGAATCTGGACCAATAGTGGACGAGCAGCTGAACTACTTGCATACTACGGAGAGTTTAGGTGGGTAAGTTGAGTTTACTATTGTCTGTACAGTATATAGAACTAAATTAGGTACTGTAAGTCTAATACAGTCAACAGTCAAAAAAATTATTTCTATTAATGATGTCTCCAAAGTTCAACAAATTTTTCGCAAAAAAATAACTTATCAGAAAACTCAACCGCCATTTGATGTGCTGCTCCGCGACGAAAACAAGCTTAAGGAATGGCATGGTCGAACGGTGCACACAATAAGTAATCCTACAATTTTTTGTTTATAGCATAGTTTATACAGATTTTTCCCAAAAAATTATTCGTGTTTTGGAAATTTGAGTGAAATTAGTCTAGAATCGACTAATTTTATGGAAGAAAACCTTTCAAACAGCTGTAGTCTGTAAATTGCACACATGCCAGGCTGTGATTGGCTCAAGTATTTGAGGATTCCTACAACGTGAAATTTCTATAAAGCGGAATGTATCTACCGCGTTATGGGGTGGTCGACTGTATTTTATAATAATTATATTAATTTCTGCATTATTCAGACTATAGTTTGGCTAATTATTAATATCTATATATATAACCCATTCAACAGGTGTCCGTCCTTCCTTCCTTCCGTCCGTCCCGTAACCATTTGACAACCGACACTAGAGGCGCCCCTATCGTGTGTCATATTTCAAACATTCAAATTAACAATTTTAATTCTNCCATCAAAAGCAAAATAATTAATGGTGTTCAGTTTAGAAGTCACCATCTCAAGCATTAAAATAAGGCTTTTTCTATTTTGTTTGTTAACATATTATAGATATACATAAATGACCAAGCCAAAATACAGTACACCTCCCTATAACGCAGATTCATATAATGGGATTCGTATATCACGGTGAAAAAATTGCAACCGTATTCATATAAAGACGCTAAAAGAGACTCGTAAAATGCGGTAAAACGTCATCGCTGACTCGTGTCGCGACAGGATTGGTCGAATCTGGACCAATAGTGGACGAGCAGCTGAACTACTTGCATACTACGGAGAGTTTAGGTGGGTAAGTTGAGTTTACTATTGTCTGTACAGTATATAGAACTAAATTAGGTACTGTAAGTCTAATACAGTCAACAGTCAAAAAAATTATTTCTATTAATGATGTCTCCAAAGTTCAACAAATTTTTCGCAAAAAAATAACTTATCAGAAAACTCAACCGCCATTTGATGTGCTGCTCCGCGACGAAAACAAGCTTAAGGAATGGCATGGTCGAACGGTGCACACAATAAGTAATCCTACAATTTTTTGTTTATAGCATAGTTTATACAGATTTTTCCCAAAAAATTATTCGTGTTTTGGAAATTTGAGTGAAATTAGTCTAGAATCGACTAATTTTATGGAAGAAAACCTTTCAAACAGCTGTAGTCTGTAAATTGCACACATGCCGGGCTGTGATTGGCTCAAGTATTTGAGGATTCCTACAACGTGAAATTTCTATAAAGCGGAATGTATCTACCGCGTTATGGGGTGGTCGACTGTATTTTATAATAATTATATTAATTTCTGCATTATTCAGACTATAGTTTGGCTAATTATTAATATCTATATATATAACCCATTCAACAGGTGTCCGTCCTTCCTTCCTTCCGTCCGTCCCGTAACCATTTGACAACCGACACTAGAGGCGCC